ATTGCACCTTTGCCAATGGCAGAAGGTGTCCGAAGTTCGGCATCGTCCACATTGTGAACAGCTGACAAGCGTTGTTTCCAAGTCAATATACTGGCCACCCGATTGCTGTGTACGTTTTTTGTGTGTGTATGGGCTCTCTTATTCTCATTGAAACATTTCTATTTCTTTTTTTTCCTTATTTTTTCATTTTCATTTTCAACATTGAACGTTTCTCATACACAAGTTTCAATTATAGCCACACACACACACACAGACAGACACACACACAGTCACATACGCATACACACCCAGTAAGCGTCAAAAATAATTTATTCCATTCCTTTCTCTTTTTTTTTGTTACTTCAAAAGTCGTTCTATTTCATTGCACATCAGACCTCAGGTCCGATGACAGCGCAGTTTATGTGAGTTTATTGCATTCAGTGTTACCTTCTTCTCAACCCTCCCTACGTGTATGTTAGCTGTATTAGATTACAAGAGGCTTTTCATATCAGCTGCAATTTCAACGATTTCTTATCATAGACCTATCTGTTATTTTGATTGTTTTCCATACATACTTTCAGCATTAATAGTTTGAGTGCAACTTTTCCCAGCTTCTTCGCCTACCTTTTTTTATTTTTTATTTTATTTTCTCTCTCTCTACTTCTCTGCCTGTTTGATCAGTACACACCTCACAAATGGTTATTTTGCTCCATTTGTCTTCAGTAATATGCATTTAATGCTATTTTCACTCTCAACACATAGATTTCTTTCTTTATTCTTCTGATTTACCTGTACACTGCATGTTGAAGCGTCTATAACCTGACAAGCTTGCTTTACTCAATTCTTTTGGCTGCTTTTCTCACATTGTCAGCAAGCTTTAACTAGCCCATAATCCATTTTTCCGGTCAAAAAATCATTTTTCTTTGTCAAAACTGAAAAAAAGGAAAATTTTGAATTCTTATAGATTTTGAATTCTCTTTATTCCTTTCCCTTTCTCTCTCTCTCTCTCTCTCTCTCTTTCTCTTCGTCTTCTTCATCATCATCATCATCTTTTCATATTCCTCTTTTCCTGCTCCATGCTGTTCACGCTTTATGTAGATCGTCTTTTCTGTTGCCTTGCTACTAACTTTATTTGACAATTGTTCCACTTTCTATTGAGAGGTCTCTTATTGAGCGATATTTTTTTTTTGCTGTTCAAAATGCTATTACTACAAAGGCACATACACACATGTACACAGACAAGTATGTATGTGTATATCATCATACTATCTTTTTCATCTGAATAGAGTTCTCTCTCTCTCACTTTCATCATCCCTGGATCTATCAAGCTTTTAACATTTCTGCTTTGCCATCATCGTGTGATGTCCTTTTTGCTCATTTTCATGTCTGCTTTTTGCCGTCTTACGCATTGAACTATCCAAATATGGTAGTTCAACTTACGTTCACAACTTTCTACTTAAGCTAATCACATCTGACGCCACTTAGCTTCAGCCAGCATTAGCGCATTGATTTCCTTATTCTTCTTACTTCTTTTTTTCCCCCTCCTTTCTTCTTTTCCATCTTCCAGCAACTGGTGGTTGAGCTAAGCACTCACGCCATCATGCCCTTATCTGGGAGAGAAAAGGAAAAGTTTTTTGTTCTTCTTCTCATCCTTGTTTGGCTGTTTTAAGGTTACAATGTTTAAAATTTTCTCCAACATTGGCTTTTTCAAAAGCTTCTCGACAACTTCTGCTAATTCTATTGTTATTCTTTCATTTTCTCTTTAGCATATCCTCATACGGCAGTTCAGTTCTATTTTCATAAAAAAAAGTGACGAAGAAATCATCATCTTGTCCTTCTTCTCACATGCTCATTCTTCTCTTCGTCGTGGTTGCCTTCTTCTTATTCTTCCTCTTCTCTTTCTTCTTCATCCTTGTCTTCTTCTCATTTAACATCACAAATTTCATTTTTCATACTTTTCGTTGTTTCAAAATGATCGTCAAAACCCATTTCTTCGTCTTCTATTCAAAATGAGAGACAATACCAAAGCATTTTGTGGATGAGAATTGAACCATCTGACCTCTTTTCTTGCATTTTCCTTTTTTACTTTTACGTTTTATTCGTCTGTTCCCAAAATCTAATGTAATCGCCCAATAACAATCATGGTGTTCGAAACATTGATATCTTAACATTCACCCCATGGGCTGTTTTCGCTACTAGTCCTCCTGTCATCATCATCATCTTCTGATGGACTTCCGTTTTTTTTTGTAATTTTTTTGATTCTCTTCCTATCTCTCTCCCTCTCTCTCATATTGTGCTCCTCTCTTATTCTCTCCCTCTCTCTTTCTCTCTGTTTAATATGAAATTTTCATTTTCTTTACAAGCGTAACTCTTGTATACATCACTTGTCATGTACCTTCTAGATGTTGGGTTACTGCTTTTGTTAGTATTTCTCTTATTCTAGTTGAGCAATACGTCTTCTTTGCTTTGTCTGAAATTTAAGTCAACTTGATGTTAATCTAAAAAAATTTTTTTTTTCAGTTGAAAAGTCGGATATACGGTTCGCACAAACAGTTGAGGGTGAAAGAACTTGTGTTACATAGTTGAATGAAGGTTTATACGGATTCAACTTAAGTAATTCATTTCGGAATTTTTCTCTCATCGTAAAACAGGTACAGTTCAGTGTTTCAACGTTTTTCAATTTGGCCTTACTTTTCACACTTCTCTTCACATCAGCATTCTTCTATCCTCACCATATGTGTATCGTACGGAGGAGTTTGTCTTCTTCTTTTTCTTCATCTTCTTTTTTCTTCATTAACACATACACAGACAAAACAAAAAGCGACAAAACTATTAGATTCGAAGATTATTACCGTCCTTGAAAGAATCAGGAGCGTTTGGCCGAAAATGAAATTGCGCGTTCATAAATATTTTGATTTGTCAAGTGATTCAATATTGACCACGGTCGTATTGATTTCTGTTTTCGATCATTGTGAATTCTAAACCCATGTTTCTCTCTCTCTCTCTCTCCCACTCTCTATAACTCAATCCCTCTCTTTCTTTCTTTTCTTCTTCCTCCAACCTCGTTTGGAATCCTGAGACAGTTTACATCTGTGAGCTCTCTTGACTCTCTTCAATTGACAAACGTTTTTTGTTTTCTTTAAACTCTGCCTTTTTATTTCCGACAACATTGAATGCTCGAAGTAACCTGAGCTGGATAGCAACTAGATAAGCATCTCTCTTTCTCTTTAACGTTTTCTTGTCATTCTTTCAATTTCTTCTAATTTCATTATCATCTTGAAAAATCTTCTCCTTGAATGACAACACCAATTTTGTCGTCATGTTGTTATCCGTTCAACTCGTCATTATTCAGGCTTTTCCTTTATTGTTTTTCTTTTTTTCTTCTTTTTCTTTTTCTTTTCTCATGTTGATTTGACGTTCGTAATCTTCTTGGAACTATCTGAATGTGTGCTCAGTAATCATCATCGTCATCAGTTCATTTTTTTTCTTTTTTCTTTTGATTCCTCGAATCATTTACTAATACCAATAAGCTTCTGTTCTTGCTACTTACATACCCAATTGTCCTATGTCATAGGTTTCATATCTCTTGATGTGTCATGGTTCTCGTTTATATTTTACATCATCAGCTACACATAGCAGCTACTACTGCTGCAGGCTCTGTCATCATCACAATCAAACTGTATCTCTGCTGTCATAGAATTATTTCGTTTGAAAACCATTTTTGCTTTTTCTTCTCCTTCTTCGTCTTTTTTTGTGTTGTCATTCTTCTTCTTCAAACGATAATAAGCTTTCGCTTCGGCAATGAAGCTTGTTCTCTTAGAATATGAATACCTCACTGATACTTTTCTATTGCCATTTCTCTCACGCCGTCTTCCTATTCTGCTAGTTCTAAAAGCATTCGTTGAAAACATGACTAGCTATTCTCATTGTTTCTGTTTTTTTGCATATCCTTACTTGCTCTCGAGTTGCTCGAGCTTTGCTTCCTTTCCGCTCTTTCAATTATTCGTCACCTTGTATACCGAAACTCGGAAGACAGCTAGAAAAAATTTTTTTTTCTTTCTCTTAAAGAAACAGAAATTTTTTTTTCTATTTCGTAAACTTAACAAACGGCTGAAAAAAACATTTTTGAATCAGACTTCATTCTTTCATCATTCCAATGCCACGAGGCTTTAAGCTCTAACTTTCATTTTCTTTTTTTTTCCTTTTTTTTGTTACTTCTCTCTTTATTTCTCGTTTTTGTTTTATATAATTGCCTCTTTGATGTTCATTCATTATTTACATAGTTAATGATTAAGCTTGAAGCTGCTTTGATTCAAATTTAGAATTTTGCTTTAATCGACTTATACTTGAAGTTTAGAACCATTATACTCACACATACATTGTAGTACAAAGCTTTCTATTTTCATCCTATAAACACTCTTTTCAATCTCTTTTTCATCATATATGTCTCTCTCTCTCTCTCTCTCTCTCTCTCTCTCTCTCTCTCTCTCTCTCTCTTCTCTCTCATATACACATCTGC